TGATCTGTGTAATATCCATTTTTGAAGGCTTTGTCTTTGAAAATCCCTCCATGTATATATTTGTAATTTCTTCTTATTGATTGCTTCAGTTGTACATTTTGTTAATCTGCTCGATTCCATTTTGGTATGATAATATTTATATTTTATTATGGTTTCTATTTCTTCTGCTTTCACTGAGTTTCTATGTTTCTTTCTGAACTTCATTGATGTTGTTTAAGCTGATACTTAGTCATGGCGATAGCCATATTGATTTGTTCCTCTTTTGATTGTGTCGGTTGCACTGACTGAAATTGTGCATTTTGACTGTGAATAGAAGCGCTCTTCCAGAATAGGAAACACTCTGTGTTATAAAGCAACCAAATATTATCTGTTGAACGAATCTGACCTATCCAGGAGGGATAGAATATCTAGTTATTTGTTGCTGTTGATTTGAATAATTGAACAGTTGTTGGTGGAATAAATGAGTGGTAGTATTTGTTTAGTTAATGATGTATATTTATATTTATGATGAATATTAGAACCGTTATTTACCCAAATCACTTGTTTTGAATTCAACTGGGTCAAGACGCGTATCTAAACTACCTAGACACTTATTCCTCAATCCAAACCTCAGTTTAGATCCTACAAGCCGTTTATTGGTTCTTGCGGTTCTTGCACTTGATTTCGCTTCTGTTGATGATTTCAGTTGCTAGTTTATCATTCCACTAATGATATATTTTTTTCCACAATTTACTCTCCTTTTTCTTAATAAATACTACCGAACAAGACAAATCAGTGTAACTTTAATCAAAGTTCATATCAATTTAGATCAGCTCCTATTAACCTTTAATTGTTGCCATTTTTTACAGACAGTAGTAAGTGATGAGTTGACCTTAAATCGTTTTTGAAAAATGATTGAAAATGATGCAAACCTCTTTGCATCCAACAGAGAAAAAAGCAATTACTTCTGGTTAAATTCATAAAGTACATTTTTGATTACGTATTGAACTAAGGTTTATTATTATTATTAATATTAATATTAATATTATCATTATTAGGAATTATTTACTAGCAAATGTAACAAACGAGTGGCTATCTGAATTCAATAGCTAAGTCAATAATGTGATCGCATTCGAAGTGAAAGTTATTGGGTTCGAGCACGGGAGTGAACAGGTGCGTTCAGTTGATGAGTTCAACATGGGATGAAATGTGGTTTTTGAATCCTATTGCTAGAGACTATGGAAATCTACTGACAGTTTATCAGGATCTTGTCTATACGAATTATCTTTTTCAAAGAAATTGATTGGTTAATTTGTATTTAAGTAATTAAAGGCAGTTGACAGAAATATCCCGACCTTATAACGTAGGACTTCGTACGTAATTACAGCAGTTCAAGATGCTATACGACATTAGCACAGAGATATAATTGTCAATTCAAATCCTATAGTAGTAGAGGTAGTAAAAGTAATAGAAGTAATCGGAGAGACTAGGTTTCGAAGATATTATTCAAGAAGTATAATTCAGTGACGTAAATTTAGAAAGAGAAAGATAGAGGTAATGATTAATTCAGAAGGTTAGAACTTCATAGGACACAAAGAGTGGATGCACCTGCACCATTGCAAACAATTCTGAGCCATGTCATTCAGGGTCTCTAACTATCGATTATTATCACCTTGCGGACTTCAACGAGGTAGTCGACACCTACCAACATGACTCAGTTCACTTGTCAGTGACTTCATCATTGTTCAATAAACATGCTAAATCCAATATATTCAGTTATGTTTTCAATAATTTAGTAAATGAGTTTTCTATATTAGGTTGTAATTTTTAACAAAGATTTCATTTCAAGTCTAAACATTCACCTTATATATTGTTCTCCTAGTACATCAATCTGCGTGAGCTACATTGATATGTTTATTTCTGACAGGTGTGGACATTTCAAGATGTTTTGCGACATTATATCTCAGCAAGTAACTGTAAAACTGTGAATAGAGGAAAGTGCACAGATTGATTTCAAATTAAGACGGGTGTCAGACAATGTTGCTTACTCTCATTGTGTCTCTTAATTCTGGTGGTTGATTTGGATTAAAAAGACCTCCTCTACATTTCAGAAGAAGAAGCAAGGTGTACAGTGAACACTTCAGATGCAGCTGGACGATTTGAACTTCACAGATAACCACGCTCTTCTGTCCCGAAAAGGCTGAAAATGCAGATGAAGATGGTCGGTGTAGCAGCAGCCTATGCAGCAGTAGGTTTTAACATGCACAAGGGTAAAAGTAAGATCCTCCACTGCTACACAACACCAACCAACCAAATCACATTTGATGTAGAAGCCCAGCAAAATGTGTAAAGTTTGAAGTAACAATGAAGCTTCATTGATAAGCAAAGTTTATCTGATATTAAGACACAGATTGGCAAATCAAAGGCAGTATTTTTAAAATTCAAGGAGATTCACAACTTAAAACAACTGTCAACCAACATCAAATTAACAATTTTCAATACACACGTCAGAACTGTCCTAGTGTATGGAATGGAAACTTGGAGAACTACAAAAGTCATTGTCCACAAGATACACGTATTTATTAACAGTTGTCTACACAAAATACTGTGGATCCCTCGGCCAGACACCACGAGCAACAATCTACTGTTCGAGGAAGCAAAGAAGTTTGCGTCTGAGGAAGAAATGAATGAAAATCACTGGAGGTGAATAAGACACACATCGCAACAATCACGAGACTGCATCATGAAATAAGTCCTAACTTGGAACACTGAAGACTAAAAGCGAAGAAGTAAACCAAAGAGTAAATTGATCAGTGAATCGAAGTCATGGCCGAGTTTAAATAGTTTAAATTATTTGTCCTGGTAAGTTTCTCCTTTTGTCGAGTTGGTTTTCTACGAGATTGGGTCGCTAATCCCTTCTGTTTTATGTGAGCTCGGGACCGGCAGTAATCTCAGAAGGGCTCCATGCAGAATTAGATAACGTATTCCATCTTATTTGATTGTATTAAATTACTTATTATTAAGAGTCGTTCATCATACGACGATGATTTTTTTAATAGAAGTTTGTTAATAAATTTACCACAACAGTCGATTTAATTTACATTGTTCAATTAATTTTGCATAATCGTATAATGAATATAACTGTTTTTACACATTTTAAATCATGAATCAATAATTGTTAGACTACCATTAGAAACCTACAAGCACTGGACGGCCGTACCGTCGTGATATGGGACTTATCACTGGCAGTGCACATCCACGATTTCTGCTACTTGCAGGATTCGAACCCATGACCTTCGGTGTTGCGTGCGAACGCCTAATTTCCACACCATTGAGCAGGTGGCACCCAACGGCGTTAGCGTCTAACTCTGATTAATCTAAGGATTATTCAATCAACTAATCAATAATCCACAATCGCTACGACTACCATATACCTGACTGGTTTATCTTAATAACGTTGTCTAACACACCTTGGCTACGATCATATGAATTCAAAATCAAGTTACGCATCAGTTGTGTAAAAATTCAAATTTTAATTGAATTTGTATTCTCGTTTACTTTAAAATGTGTAATCGATAAAAACATAAAATATTAATTTTTCTTTCTTTCTTTATGTTAATATTTCTAATTCTGATTTTAAACTAATTTGGGAAAAAAAATAAGGAACTGTAATTTTTTTCAACACATATTTTTTTTCTGGGCTAAATTAGTGTTTATGGAATTTAGTTTCAATTAGTGAAATTTTGAAATCATGAATCGATTTAAGTAAGGCCATTATTAGAAACCTGGATATACCTGGACGGTCATTTTATGCTGGTATGGGACAGTGCCTATTCACGACGACTGCTGAAACCTGCAGGATTCAAATCCAGGACTTTCACTGTTGCTCATGAACGCCTAACTTCTTGATAATTGAAACAGTGCGCATGCACGACCCTCACACTCTATAATCAAATCAAGGAACTTCACGCCAGAGTTTGAACAGCTAACCTCTAGACAATTTCGTCGACATCCACCAGTGTTCATGTCTAACTTTGATCTATTGTCGGTAGATAACTACTATCTGCCTATGCTCAATACAACTGAACTTCACTGATCACGGTTTCTCACTAAAACACCATAAATTTCCTTAAAAAACAACAACCTCCATACCTGTAAAATGAAACATTAAACCGATTCCTGATGTTTTTTATAATGTTCCATTCTCATTTTAACACACACACACTGTTTGTCTTTATTCTTGCTAAAATCATTTCCAATGATTAAATCGGTGTAACATAATTTTCATGAATTGTTATTATTTTTTTAATTGTAAATAGTAATATGATATTTTATCTGTAAATAAATTACGATTTAATTAGATGATTTATTGAATATTTACTAGATAATTGATTTGTTATACTTTACTGAATTTCTTATTATTGAAATAATGCGGAAAGGGCCATTTCGTGCTCTTATGAGACTCATCAGCGGCAGTGCACATCCATGACCGCCCCTACTACACACAGGAATTAAAACCGAGAACCTTTTGTCTTGCGAATGCTTAATCTCTGGATCACTAAGGTGGCATCCAACGGTGTTAATGTCTAAGGTTTCACGAATGCTCATTCTGCCTATACTCGACACACAGTTGAACTCTATTGGTCACATCTTGTCTAACTAGAACTTCAAGAATTTCCTCATAAAGCTAGTCCTGAATGGATGTCATGGATGAGCACTGCTGAAGAGGTGCACACTGGGACGAAATGGCCATTCAGTACTTCCAGCTTTCTTCTAAGCATAATCTAACAAGGATTGATTCATGCTTTCCAATGTCAAACAACAATCTCCATAATTTTTTATGATGAAGAAAAAATGGTTGTTGTATTTTAACAAAAAACTCAAAACAACATGTGCATAAAATTTTAACTACTTTTGAAAAATAATGTATAAAATAATAAGAGTAATAATAACAGTAATAATAATAATAATCACTTACAAAATTAAAGAGTAAAATATTTTAATTTATTTTTCTGGAAATAAAAACAACCAGTATTTATAGATAGAATGAACTCGAAATGGTAGGAGAGAAACACACACACAGAAATCAATGTGTTAAATGAAATTTTTATAGTTCAGTTCTGTGCTGTACTGTACTGTACGAGGATGACTGATGAGAAGTAATCATCACTGACGGAATCATACTACTAGTACTACTATTCATGGTAATACTACTACTATTACTACTACTGCTAGTACATTTGTAAAAATACACATGTGTATATTATATATATATATATACAGATTAGGAAATGTATTTTCTTCGGATTTTTGTCAAATCGTTGGTGATTCTTCAATGTATAACATGCCATTGATAAATTTTGCTGTTAAATTCTCCGGTTCAATATTCTCAGGAATATCATATTCTTTAGAGAATTCTCTAACAGCTGTACGATTCGGTGCACGTTCTTCATGACGTGCTCTAATGTAAATGCGATGATTCAATGTTTTAATTTGTATTTCACCTGGTGAATATTCATGATCAATCGGGAGTTCTAAATGAAATCTTGATGATTTTGTTTGACGTAACGGTTGTTGATGTTGTAGTTGATTCAACGAAGAATGTCGTTCACCGCAGTAGTCATGTTGATCTTGTTGAAGTGTCGTCATATCACAACAATCTGAAAGTGATGAATGTGTTGAAGAATAATGTTGATTGAATTTTGGTGATTTCACATTATTGAATTTATGTGAATATGGTTGTGATGTGCGTCGTGTAGGTGATGGTTGTTTATTCCAATAGGATAATAAATTGTCCGAATGCGGTGATTGTAAACTAGTAGATGATAATGAAAAGATTGGCGGTTTCATTGGACAACTTACAGTTAATATACCATTCAAGGATAAAACGGCTGAAATTTTGGTATCATCTGCATTTGGCGGTAAATTTATTGAATGTGTATATTCACGTTTTGATGATGTTTTATTATTATTAGTAGTATTAGTAGTAGTATGTAAACCATGCTGCGCTGATTGATTATGTTCAGTTTTCGCTATAATCATTAGTTTACCATCACGTACAAATACTTTTAATAATTCCGGATCATAACCAGTTAAATTAAAATTAGCTACAAAATGTACACTACCATCTGGAAATTGTTCATAACCGGTTGATGGTGTTGTCAGCATGGGGGAATGATCATTTAATGATGATATTGATGAGTTGATTTGTTGTTCTCTACTGCGATGAAATAAATTATCATTGGAACTTTTTAAACGATTCGATGACATGATAAGGGGTTCATCATCATCATCATGATGAAAGAATTTAAATTCTTCATCCCATTGTTTACGACGTTCTTCCATTCTACGTTTCATATCATCATATGAAATATAATTTGTTGTCTCGAGTGATTTCGATGGATCCGCTGAAATTGTACGAAAACGTCGATGCCATGGTATTTCATTATGTGATATTAATTGTTCACTATTCGCCGATGTATGACGACTACGTGAATTCCAATGATTATCATTTGAACTTAGAAATGAATTATCATTATTATTGAACATTGATTTTTTACTTGTATCAATTGGGATACGTAGTTCCGTTCGATAATTGGTCATTTTTAAATTGTTGAAAAAAAATGTAATTTTACAAGTTTGAATTGAATTATATTGTAATAATTAACAATCCAGTTGTATATGACACATCATGATATTACAAAAATGTTTACAAAATGTTGCATTTTAAATGAACAAATACAATGTTCAATGTCCAACTTTGTGATCATTAACTTTTCCAATCTGTTTCATTGAACAAAGTTTTACAAAAAAAAACAACAGACTTTTAATAAGAACTTACAATCCAATGTGTGTGTGTGTGTAAACAAAATGGTCTGTTTATTTATCGCTCAATTACAAAAACTCTTCGCCTGCTTGACATAACAAGCACATAAATGCACAACAAAGTAAATTTTTGCAACCAATCAATAGGAAACCTAGGCGTT